ATATCAAAAGAAAGCTGAAGATTTTTTCTTACAAGTATGAAAATTTTAACTAGGGTTAATTTGTGAATTCTTGGTGTACAATATGTATGTGTTTCACGTTTTATTTTTATTTACTAATAAACACTATGAATTTCATATAGGGTGACAGTTTTGAAATTGACAAATCTATATGTGTTACATTGAGTTGTCCCCCCCCATACCCCTAGGTATTACCAAGAATTTCAGAATTAATGCCGATCCGGAATTTTTACTATGTAGATCCTTTCATTTACTGATGGATCGTCCCATAATTTTTTCACTAATTTATCATTGGTTGAAAAAACAATTATTATGAATAAAAAAAAATAAATTTTTTTTTAATTTTTATGTTTTAAAAATGGCAATTGCAGAGGCAAAGAGACTGGAGAAGTTGAGAAGAGGTGCAGAAAAAGAATATTACATTGGCAAGTTACAAAATTTAGAAGGAAAAGAAGAGGGAGAAGAAAGAGAAGAAAGAATGGAGGAAACAATTGCAGAAGTTGCAAAATGCACTAATGGATTTGAATGAAAAAGAAGGTAATGAAAAAATTGAGTAAAAAATATACAAAAAATTATTTTCTGTTTATTCTGTTTTGTTTATTTATTCATTTGAGGGAATGTTTTTTACAATGTTGACTAACTTATTTTTGTATCCTTATATATTGGATATAATTTACATTTTTTTATCTTTTATCTATTATAACTAGAAGTTATTATTGTATTTTTTTTTTCCCCATTATTAGTCTGGACATTGATTGAAAAGTTAAAACAAGACAATTTTGTATTTTTCTACAAGGGAAAATTATAATATATGGCAAAAGTTGATACCTTGAAGTTTCATTAATATTAAATAAGATTTTTTTTTTGTCCTCAAAAAAATCCTTAGCTATAGAGAGTATTATGAAGGCTGGTCAGATTATGGAAAAAATAGATAAACCCATCATAACTTGGTATAAATACATTGAAAGACCACATATACAATAATTTACTCAAGATAGAATATAAATGCTTTTATGAGAGGAAGTTCTTGTCCAAATGATTATCAGGGTGTCAGTATCTCAGGTGGATCTGGCACAGGAAAAAAATGACATGGATTTAAAGCAGTTAATACAGTCAAAGATCTTGATAAAATTTGTGATGGTACTTTTAAAGTTATTCATATATTTGTTCAGATTTTTACAGGAACTTCTCTCTTTCATTTTGATGAATGTCCTCCACATTACTCATCTACAAGATATTATCCTTGCAATTCAACACATGTAAACCTTGTAGGTTCATATTTAGCATTAGTAATTGCAACTTATTGGCTTACACAAAATTACACACCAGAGTCTTTATAATCTTTCAAAAAATTGGTGCTTTAGACTTAATAACAGCCTTGAAGGCAATTAGACAATCCTATTCCAAGAAACTTTGCAATTAGATGAATATCAACATGATGAATATTTAACAGTCAATATTTTGTGTTTTGTATCTCAACTTGTTGCAAATCACCAAGTTAGTGATATGGATATTTTGGTTGTACCTATTTGCACAGGTACAGCCCCAATAAAGCTCCAAAAATTAGATAATCCAGGTCATCCTAGTGTGACTGATTACAATGTTTATGATATACATGTGTCACCTATGGATATAGAAGAATCTTTTAACTTTATTGATTCAGTAATGGAACATCAAATGAAAAATTTCAATGAACCCATCAATCCAGTTCCACATGAAAATTTATTATGTCATATCCTGATTGGTGCTGTTAGAGGAATTCCAGTCATTATGGAACAATGTGATTTGGAGCTTTTGAAAGCAAAGAGTTCTTTTACTTCAGCAGAGAAATTTGGAAAGTCCTTGTTGAATGGGCAAAAAGAAGGTATACAATTGATAATTGGTTAGATTCTATTGGAGGAAGTAAAGATCCTAAAGACAGTAAAGATGAAAAGCGTAAAATGGCTGTATTGAAGTTGATGTTTTGGATCCATACTCAAAAGCCAATCACCAAGGACACTGTTCTAGATGACAGTACTGTAGGGGATCATGAAGCTGGGGGCTTATTTTTTTAGAAAAGATTAATGACTCTGAATATAAAGCCAAAGCTCCTCAGCATCTCTTGTTTCACATTTAAAGTTAGGTTTCTTTGATGATATTATTTTAGATCCATTTAGCCAACTAGATGAGGAGTCCTTCCCAAAATTCATTTCACATATACATCTGATTACATATAGATTGGCAGCAGAGATTGGAGCTTATCTAAGAAAAGAAAATATTACCTATGAAATTTACCAAGAAGAAAGAAAAATAATAAATGTTGGAAATTAAACAAATGACCATTGAAGAAATTTATTTCGGGTACATCATGGCATCAAAAGAAACATTATCCAAGACAATTTAAATTTACCGAATATAAAATAGTACCTATCTTAAAAAAGAAAAAAGATTCTAAAAATCCATACACAAATAATAATTTAACCAATCATAAAGAAGTGTCTGTTATTGCAGATACTGATGAAAACAGGGTAGAAACTATGGATAGCACAACAGGTCGTTTTATTGTTATAATACATAGGTATGGTAAATCAGCAGATGCTCTAATACCACATGCAGATGGGCAGTATAAGTTCAGTTCTGCTATAGCATCAGGTCATCCTGTCCATAAAACACATGTAGGCGAAATTGATTTGAAAATGTTTAAAACAGAAATGGAAAAGGCTAAGGGTTGTAGTGTTCCATGTTGCAATCCAAAAAAGGAAACAAAATGGTTGTAAAGGTGGTTGCAATTGTTTTTATATGACGCAAAGATGGTAGCAACCATCATCAAAAGTTGCAGCTGGTATCCTTAAAGGGTTGTAATGTTTTGTTTTACTTAGTGTAAAGCAGTTTTTACATGGAGTTAATGAACTTCCTCAAAAATCTGGCATTGTGTTTGGAGATCGGCTTTTAAGTTTTATGGGAATATATGGATGTATGACAAAATTTTTTTCTAAAGAGTTAGATGAAGGGGAAATATTGGAAGTATCAGAAATGATAGTTGATGATTAAGCAATGTGTATTTTCTTGCATTATAATAATAATAATATCTGATTTTCAAATTACTCCTTCATACTTGATGAATTTATGAATTTTTTTTAATTGATATCAACTAGAGATTGGACCCTCCCAAAAAACCTTACCCGGATCACCCGTCAGACAAACCCACAGGTCACCCGGGTGGGTGATGGAGCTTCCTATATATGGACTTAATATTACACAATCAAATTATTATTTATTAGTCCCAAACTTTTACAATATAAATTGTTTCTTTTATAAACAATAACTGATTCACTACTTCCTTCATGCCCTAAATATGTTCTTTTAGAGGTAATCAAAATTTCCTGCATCAGAAAAAGATTTCTAGGTTGAGTTCTATTCAAAAAGCAAAAAATATTACACCAAATCAAACTCCAGAATGTAATAAAAATGATGATAAAAGAAAACAAGAAGCAATATATATCTGAATTTGTACAGCTTGCAACCAAATTCAGTAACACTGGTGGCATTTCTATTTCATCTACCATTGAATGTACTAGAGCAATTATACATTTTTTAGCAGGTGAGGAACCAGATCATTGGCTTTCAACTGGAACTATTTCATGCTGGAATAAAGAAGTTGCCACTTTGTGTCTTTGACAGAATTGCCCAAAAGATACCAAATCATGTTTTTATTCTCATGGAATAATGTGTGATGAAAGCACACATGGTGATAAAAAGATATTTTTGGTTTTTTTGCTCATTGGAATGAGGATAAAAATCAGCCCACAATTACTATTTCAAAGATGGATGACTTAGACAAATGCAATGGAAATACTGTAGCCAAAGCAGTAAAAAAATCATGTGAGGAAAATGAGATTAATCCAAAGAAATGCAATTTTTGGCTTACAGATAATACTGCCTATATGCCTGGTTCCAAATCAGGTGCAGTTGTCAAATTTAACTTGATGTGTTAATCTTCCTCCTACCAAATTCCTTGTGGTCTGCATGCATTGCAAATTGCATTAGTGAACTTTGAAAATACAACATTTGGAAAAACCAATTCTCTCTTTGGAACAACAACACCCATATAACCTTCTCAATTTAACATACCACTTACATGATGGATATAATGATAGTAACAAAGATAAATTATACTGGTGTTTACTTCAATATCCTCTAAAAACTTATCAAAAATCAATATCATGCTGTTGGTTATACCAGCTAAGAACTGCTCAGCAATATCTGACAAATAAAAATACTCACCTAATATTTATACAATGGTTTACTAATGAGTTAGAACAATCACAAAATGTTCCTGGTGGATACCTTAAAAAATGGAAGTATTCCTCAATTGGCTTGAAGATTCTAAACTAAATATTGAACTAGAATGCATGGTTAAATTTGGGGAAGCATTCTATGAAAAAGTTTTTAAATTTTAACTGGATATGATACTTTACCTCAAATAGTTACTGAAGATGAGACAAGATAACTGCCTTTTGGGAATTGTGTGCACGAAATCCCAGATCAAGTTCTTATCTGGATAGATGAACTCAAGAAAGCAGAAGAAAATCCAGTATTGATTTTTGAAAAGGAGTTTAAGAATGCCCAGTCCTTGCTATCAAATGAAGAATATAATCACCTGGAAAAAAATAAAATAAAAGATAGGATGAAAAAAGCATTAGATGTTTTTGTAAATGGATGAAATTCTGGATCCATTTTCCATTAGTAATTTGTAATTAGGAGGTAATAATAGTCCAGAATTTGCTCATGTGTTCTTTCTGCTTCCTATAATGTAGAAATAAATTTGCATGAGAAAAATTATATTGAACTTCTTGAGAGAGATAAATTGAAAGGTATCAACCAATCTTTTGGTTTGTTGGAAGCTTTGCAGGAACAAGATTTTTCAGATGAATTTCAGAATTTTCCTGTATCTGTAACCTCAGACCTCCACAAATTTCCACTTCTGTATGATTTTGTGAAATATAGAATTTGGTCTATTGTAGTATACCAACAGCAAATCGAAGGCCTGTTTAACAAATATGATATTAAACACATCCTAATATGAAGAAACCACTGCAAAAATCACAAATGTTGCTTTCTGGTTCCAATAAAAATCAAGTAAAAATTACAAAAGAAAATCTTGCAGCTGTTAGAAAGAGCAGAGAGAACAAACAGTAAATTAAATATTTTTAAATAATTAAATTGCACAATATACTTATTATTAGTGGTTGTATCCATTGATTATCCGGGTGTTTGAGTACTTGGTCAATCAATAAAGCTCAACACCTGGATAATCGGTCATTCTCCAAATACCCGCCGTTGAATATTCATTGATTTATAATAATTATTTATTCGTCAGAAAAATATTTTCAATACATTGCATATTTTTTTTTTTTAAGAAATACAAATAACAATAGATTCAATTTTATTCGTTTGGCTGTCATTGTGTTTCCAGCTTCACTAAATACAGTCAACCCTTGTCACAGCGGATGAATGAAGATTTATTTAAACCCCGTTGCGGCAAGATTACTGATCTTGCCACAACGGATTTTTATATTTTAATGTGAATGTGAAGCAAAAATTTAAAAATCTGTTATGGCAAGAGTTTAATTATAGTTCGTTGTGACAAGGTTTGGCTGCAGACGCTCATTTGGAGTAGAAGTTACTGCAATACAAAAATATTCTTTAGATAATTATGACACAGTTGGTATTCATATTACTTGATATATAATTATAATAGAAAGAACGTTGGTGATAGTGTAATAATAATGGATAAAATAGTATTTACATGTTAACGTATTAAAAAAATTTCTTTCGATTACATTGATAAAAATTTATATTTGTACCCGGTAGTTTGGAAATTTTTCACTTCGTACCCTGGTGGCGTCCACATTTTGTAATTTCAATTTCTTTAAAAAAAAAAAATATTAATATAATAATAATGGTTTATAATGATAAGAAGTTAAAATTGTCTGAAAAATTTTTAGAACTCAAGGTAAATTTTTTTATTATGAAACGAGAAAAAAATATTGTATTAAAAAAACAATTGCACCAAACGATTATTTATAACAAACTTTTATTAAATTTAATTGTTGACAGTTTATGCAAAGACAAGAAGAAAGAGAATTACTAGAAAAGGTGAAAAAGGAACGAAATAAAGTAATTGGAGAATCACAATGGTCTGTTATATATGATGAAATTGATATTGAAAGCCCGTAAGTATATACATATTCTTTGGAGAGTGAAAATTTAAATTAATAATTGCAATTTTTTGATTTAGCAAATATGATGTAGAATATTTATCAAGTTATTTAGCATGCAATAATATGAAGGAAAAAGGACGAATGCTTTTTGGACTTGATGAATCAGCTGTGAAAGTAAGAAGAAAATTAAAAATTATTTATAATTTATACATACATATAATCATGCATATAAAGTATTATTCATTACATTTGATTTATTCATAGGAATCATCTATTATCAAAAATTCAATGGATCGAGCAGAAAATTTTTTGACACAATTCAATAATAATAATATCAGTGTTAATAATAACAATAAACGTAAGCTAAGTCAGAAAAAAATAGAACAAGAAAATCAGAAAAAAGGTAAAACAAAAATTATAAAAGATTTATTTATACAACAATCACGGCAGGAACGAATGAATCAACAACAAAAAGGAAAAGAAATTATTATTATTGATAGTGATGATGATGACTATGCTCCCATTAAAAAGTTTCAAAAGGTTGATAATTTTAGGACCCCGTCATCTTTAAACTTTATGAAGCCACTTGATTAAAAATATAATTATGACAAGATAATAGGTAGGTGATGCGTAGATTAATAAATTGTATGAAAAAAGATTACAAGTAATTTTGTTTATATCCATCAATCAAAAACACATTGTTATCCAAAAATGATTATGCAAATTTTCAAGATTGAAAAAAAAATTTATTATCAATAATATCAATTTGGAATAAATTGCATTTAGCATGGAAAAAAATTGATTATGTTCTTATAACAAATATACGGATCCATTATATTAAAATTGTATCTGATGAATTACAAATAAATAAAAATTTAAATCATCAATCATCCAAGATATGTTATATATCAATTCATTCATTTATTTATTAAACACAATATGAATATGGACGATGTTTTGTTATTTCAACTTTGGGTTACATATGCTATAATTATTCAATTAATTATAAAAGTTTCTTTATTGAAAAAAAAAATTTCTTTTGGTTAAAATTAAAACCTTCTTAATGATGTCTTATTTATTTATAATGGTCTTTTCTTTGATTGTTGTTGCCTAGTAGCAGTTGATGATGATTCTTTATTTCTTAGCAATACAGGTTGACTTACTAAAATGATATTCATATTAATAATTTAATGATGAAAATTTAATATATTATATATACTATACACTATACCAATTAATTGGTTTTTTTACTAACCATTTCTTGAAGCAACTCTTCTCTTGAGAAAATCTTGTCTTTTCTTATTTACTTCAGCAGAATTAGTTGATAAGGATTTTTTTTGATGATGATTGTTGACAGTATATGATATTTTATTTTTTTTATGATCAGATGTTTCACTAGTTTTAAGATTAGTATTTTTACGCTTAATTCCAACAATTGATTTATTATGATTATTATAATATCTATTAGAACTAATAGCCGCATTGTCATATTTACTGGTGGTATTTGTAAAATGTGCAAACTTCAAAAGATCTTCTTGCGTAATGATGGAATTCAATTTCACAAGTTTCTTTTCAAGATAATCAATGGTGATCAGACCAGGTCTTTTCCTATTATTATTATCATCATAATCATCATTTTTGACTTGGGTACCGCCATCAACCAAAGGATTCAATTTTGGCACCACAAAATCCTCGGTTGTTAAATGTTTATACAGTTCTGTATAATCAAAATCATCATCATCATCATCATTTGTCAAAGTGACCAATTTAAGTGGAAGATAATCTTCTGGTCTTAAAAGATCATAAAGTTTTATAAAATCATCATCATCTGAACTATCATCATCTGGATTGGCATTCGCGACTTGATCAGTTAAAATAGTATTATTAGTCATTGAATAATTTTTTCCATGATTATTTATATTTCTATAATCACATAAGGGTTTGGTTTGGTTTATTGATGCTGTAAGAAAAAAAATTTTTTTTTAAATTCATTAATTTAATTTTAAAAAAAAATTTTTTTAATATAACTAGTTTATTTTTTTTTACCATCAGAACCAACTATTTTTATTTCGTGACTTTTGTACGATTTTTGTGAAATTCTCTTTGGTTTTTTTAAAAGTGCCTGTTCCATTCTTAATTTAAAAATATTTGATTTGAAGGTTTAAGAAAGTGATTTATTAATAATTTTTGTTATGACTTCAAAACAAAATATAAATAATTGATTATATATATATATATAACTATCAAATTCTTAAACGCGTTATTATTATTGAATAAATAAATCAGAGTATTATGACTTAGAATTAAAGTTGGAATGGACCAGGAAGTTAAAACTTATAAAACACATTCCAATATTTTAAAACAAGGTCTTCATATTTTAAAGCTTGTTTTGCTGAATAATTGGGTAAAAAAAAACATTTCTCCAAAAGTATTCTAATAACAATTTTTTTTTAGAGATTTTGAGCTTCAACATGTGATGAATTAATTAATTGAGGATTTACTAATGATTTTCAAAATATTGAAAGAGAATGTGACATGGCAAACTTTCGATTTTTTTTTTTCGATAATATTAATTTTGTATAGTAATGGCATCCACATGATGAGGCAAAACACCGGCATACATATTGCCAATGTTGCATGGAAAACTTGGATTAGAGAGCCTCTATAAATATGGGAGAGGTCTCATTAGAAAGCTATAATGTCATAGTTTTATCTTTGATTAATAATGATGTTTGAATTTGTTATAAAAATAATGTGCTACACAAGTCGGATTTCTATTTTATATATGTAATTACACCTCCTGTGACATACTGTTTGACTGATAGTAAAATTCCAGGATAAGCATCATAGTAAAATCAATTAGTGTCCATAATCTGGAACTGCTGCAAATATTTTACATGTAGATTTGTACTTTAAAATTTACTAAATAAAACTGAGTATCTGGCTATCAACATCAGAATCTGAAGAATAAATTTCATCTGATAAAATAAAATCTGAGTTAGAAGAATCTGATGCTTTATTT